GGGGGCCTTTTGTGTTCAGCAAAAAAAAAAGGTTGGGAACCACTGACCTATATTATATAACTGCAGGTTAACTATGTTTATATGTATTAACTTTTAAAAGCCATTACTAGTTAATTAGTTAAAGTTATTAATAACTAATATAGCTACAGTAACTAAACTTCTTAACTTTTCCGAAATTGATTGCAATACAATAATGTGCACCTTTTGTAAAGCTGCTTTGAAACAATCATTATTGTGAAAAGAGCTATACAAATAAACTTGAATTGAATTGTACATTAATATAAAGTGTAACCGTTTGTAATTTTGTTTGTTTTTTCCAGAGGGCAGTTTTGGTGGTTTCTGGTGCTCAAGGTCAGTTTGGAGCAGGCGGGTTCAGGCCTGAGACATTGGGCTATGAGAAGCATGCAGTCAGTGTTGATTTAGCCTTGCTTCTGAGTTACTCTCCAGGGCCCAATGACTCTCTCAGGCCTGTCAGGGATCACGCACAGATCAATCTTCCTTTGAAAGCAGCTCATCCAGCCAGGTCAGCGAGAGGCCAAGTTGGTAAACTTAATACATGGACAACTGGTGGATGGCCCACGCAAAACAATCTCCCCAGCAGAAACCAGGGCGCTCTCTTCTCGCGCTCATTGTCAAGAGAACATTTCTCAGACGTATCTTGATTTCAGCCAGTGAAGGCGATCAGATAGCTGTGGGGGTTTTTGCGCTGAGGTATAGATCAGATGCGCCATGGGCTATTCGCTTCATGCGTCCAGTAAATAGATCGTTACCTCTCCTAAATCCCTGGCTTTAGCTTTATTGGTTGTGTTTGGTATTGATCAGAGAGAGATTTAAAGATTTCCATCAGCATCAGTGGGCTAGCAGAACCAGGCGTTAATATACTGTAAGTATACTCAAATGTTTTGGAATCATATGCACAGGATATTTCTATGCAATTGTTTAATTTCCTATGAAGTGCTATTTTCACTTCTTTATTTCTATAAAGTGTTTTACAATGTAAATTGTGTAAAATAAAATGTAATTGCAATTTTTTACATTATATTAATTTTTTTTAATTGAATAAATTTATTTGTTGAACTTCTATTCTATTTATTTATTTAGGATTTGAACTTTTTTTATTGATTTTCTTATTTGCTAATAATGCAGATGAATATCAAAACAGAGCATTAACATAATATCAGAATGATACAAAAATAAATAAATACAATCAATAGCGTTGGGGGGTGTGGGGGTGGGGTTGCCAATATCAACTACTTGAGCATATGTACTGGGAAACACCCATACACACTCATTCACACACACTCTCAAACACTGCGGCCAATTTAGTTTATTCAATTCAGCTATTCCAACACGCCAGCAAGGGGAGAACATGCAAACTCCACACAGAAATGCCAACTGACCCAGTTGGGACTCGAACCACTTCTTACTGTCAGCCACAATGGCACAATTTTACATTATATATTACATTATTTAATTAAATTTGTATTCCATTTTATTTATTTATTTATTTATTTATTTATTTATTTATTTATCTATTTATTTATTTATGATTTGAACTTATTTCAA